AAACATGCTATAAACAGGTACATTTTGGGAAAGAGAAAAAAAGACCAATATATGACCTGACAAGAGCCACCGCCAGGCAGGGGCAACGCTTGACATTTTGCTTTCTCTAAAAGCAAACAAAGAAATGTTTGAACTTAATCTTAACATTTCCTTTTTATAAAATTAATTGGTCTGTCTTGTCACATAAGTTTTGTCTATATAAATATACTAAATTATATATAAATATAAATAGAAATACGCAATTCTATAAAATGAAAATTCTATAAATAGAAAAATGCAATTCTATAAATAGAAACACGCAATTCTAGAAATAGAAAATTCTATAAAAAGATACACGTGGGGGAGTCACGTGGTGGAGTCACGTGGTGGTGTCATGAGGTTGACACATGGTGGTGTCACGTGGTGGATTCACGTGGTGGTGTCTTGTGGAGGTGTCACGTGGTGGAGTCACCTGGTTGAGTCACGTGATAAGGTCACGTGGTGGTGTCACATGGTAAAGTCATGTGGTGAAGTCACGTGAGTGTGGCACGTGGTGGAGTCATGTGGTGGTGTCTTGTGGTGGTGGCACGTGGTGGTGTCTCCTGGTGCTATCACATGGTAGAGTCATGTGGTGGAGTCACGTGGTAGAGTCATGTGGTAGAGTCATGTGGTGAAGACACGTGATAGAGTCACGTGGTGGATTGGTGTCATGTTGTAGAGTCACGTGGTGGAGTCACGTGGTTCAGTCAGGAGGTAAAGTCACGTGGTGGTGTCACGTGGTAAAATCACCTGGTGAAGTCATGTGGTTGAGTCACGTGGTAAAGTCATGTGGTGGTGTCATATGGTAAAGTCATGTGGTGGTGTCACATGGTCAAGTCATGTGGTGGAGTCATATGGTTGTGTCACGTGGAAGAGTCACGTGGTAGTCATGTGGCGGAGTCACATAATGGAGTCACGTGGTGAAGTCATGTGGTGGTGTCACGTGGTAGAGTCATGTGGTGGTGTTACGTGGTTCAGTCACGTGGTGGTGTCATGTGGTAGTCATGTGGGGGAGTCATGTGGTAGAGTCACGTGGTGAAGTCACGTTGTGGAGTCACGTGGTCATTAAAGAGCCCAAGTGTTTAATAAACAACAAGGTCTTGTCCTTAAGTATGTTCTAGTATGAAGTTAATCCCTTCAATAATAGCAAAGTTACAGCCAGTTACAGCCATAACAATGAAAATTTCAATAATTTGAAATTCAAAGTCAAGGTCATTAATGAGTGAAGGTCAAGGTCTGTCTGGTTATTTTTAAGGGTTATCCTTGAAATTTATTATGTTCAAGTTTGAAGACAATGCATTCAAAAATAACAAAGTTACAGCCAATAATAGCCAAAAAATGAAAATTTCAATAATTTGACCTTCAAAGTCAAGGTCATTTATGAGTGAAGGTCAAAGTCTGTCTGGTTATTCTTAAGGGATATCCTTGAAGATTATTATGTTCAAGTTTGAAGACAATCATTTTAAAAATAACAAAGTTACAGCCAAAAACAGCAAGAACAAGCAAAATTTGGACTTTTAACCTTGAAGGTCAAGGTCATTTATAGATGAATGTCAAGGTTAGTGTGGTCAACTGAAAGGTCTTGTCCTAAGGGTTGCTGTGGCCAAGTATGAAGACAATACACCAAGAAATAAAAAAAGTTATGATCCAGGTACAAGTTTGCGGACGGCAACGGGAACGGCAACACTGCCGCTACTATAGCAATACCTGTACTTTTTTTGTACTGTAAAAAAAAGAGCTAAAATGAATGAAAGCTATCAGTAACAAGAGCCCGGTTTGAGCCGGGCAGGGCCAATTTTGACCCTAGGGCTTTTATTTGAACAAACTTTGAAGACACTAACTGGAAGATGTTTCATGCCAAATATTTAAGCTCTACCTCTTTGGGGTTTTTTTTAAAGAAGATTTGTTTAAAGTATTTGCTTTACACATATAAGGAAAATCAGAGACCCCCGGGGCAGGGCCAATTTTGACCCCAGGGCTCTTTTTAGAACAAATTTAATAGACACCCATTAGAACATGTTTCATGCTAAATATCTTAGCTCTAGCTCTTTGGGTTCTCTAATAGAAGATTTTATAAGTTTTTACTCTATGCCTATAAGGAAAATTAAAGACCCTTGGGACAGGGCCAATTTTGACCCCAGGGCTTTTATTTGAACAAACTTGGTAGACACCCATTAGAAGATGTTTCATGCTAAGTATCTTAGCTCTAGCTCTTTGGGTTCTTTAAAAGAAGATTTTTTAAGTTTTTACTATATGCATATAGGGAAAATTAATGACCCCCGGGGCGGGGCCAATTTTGACCCCAGGGCTTTTGTTTGAACAAACTTGATACTAGAAGATGTTTCATGCCAAATATCTAAACTCTACCTCTTTGGGTTTTTAAAAGAAGATATCTTAAGTGTTTTTTTTCTTTTGGTGCCATGGCAACCAGAGTTCTGCATGGAATTAAATTCTTTGAACAATTTATAACGGTAACCACCAAAGGACCATTTCTGTGAAGTTTGGATGACATTGGCTTAGCTGTTGATGAGGAGATGTCGTTTCAAATACAAGTTTATGGACGGACGACAGACAGACGAAAAGTGATCACAAAAGATCACCATGTCACTTTGTTACAGGCGAGCTAAAAAAATTTATATACATATAAGGAAAAACTTTACAAAAAAAATTCACCAACGCAGACGCCGACGCCACTGCAATAGCTCTCCATATTCTTTGAAAAGTCGAGCTAAAAATAATGATCAAAGTTACAGTTTTCGGACGGCAATGGCAACAAGCCATGACAATAACAATACATATTTTTTTTTCAAAAAAAAAAGTTCAGCTAGAATCATATTTACCTTTAACATGAAATAAGTGCTCCTTTTCTCTTACATACTGTATAGCATCATTTCCCTTCTCTCCTCTAAGTACTAGTGATGTCAATGTTAACATATCATCATTAAACTCCTTCCCATCTCCTGTTATATAACACCCCTTTACAATCACATCTACAGTATGAGGAATATGAGGAAGACTATCAACAAACTTCTGCCATGTTGTCAAACTCATTGTTACAAAATGAAGCTTAATGTTCTTTAAACTCTGCATCTCTAAAGGAAACTGTATTATATTGTCAGTTAACCTACAACCCCCTAACTCAAGCTTACTGAGATTGTGTAGCAATGTCAACTCTATGACTAGTCTCATTGTTATGTTGGTATGATATAATTGAGATTCACTGTCCTTGTCTCCATACAATGCAAGTTCTTTTAATTTGTAAGATTTTCTAATAATATCAAATATTGTCTCATAATAACAATTTTTCAATTGATCAACTCTAAATATTTCAAGGTTTGTAGTGTTAGCATCTATCACACTAACAGCATTACACAAATCAAGGTACTGAAGTTGTTGATGTTTTGATAAATTTGCATCGTGCTGCTTCCTACACTCACATCTAACATTATAAAGATATATTTGTTCAAGATGACTGGTTCTCTCAAGAAAATTACAAAATGTAGTAGTTTCATCATGACTCATTCTAATATTACCCATTCTTATTGCTACAAGATTGATCATACTAGGTAGGTAACTAACAACTGTTTTATACACTGGGTAATACTTGCCATTGTAATAGACATGAAGAGACAGAGATTTTAATGTTGAAGTATTTACTTTAATTGTCTCAGAAACACAATTGTTAATATCATCAATCATCTGTTCTTTTCTCTGTGTACTATCATTTTGTGTACTTAAGAACGTTTGTGATTCATCACTATATAATATTTCAAATTTTTCAAGATGACAAAACATTGGTAAATATTTTGTAAATTTAACATTTTGTGTGTTGATTTTATCTACCTTTATAGACAGAACAGAGTCAGGAACAATTTGTTGCTGATCAATACCTGAACAAACAATATCACAATACTGACCCCATTTATCAATGACCAAATCTCCTATATAAAATACTGTATTACTTCCTATACTACATGCTGCTTTTAATTCTTCCATTGACTTAAACATAAGCTCTTGAATATCAGTAATACAACTGTCTTCATAAATGTCACTACTAATTGTTCTCCTGTATTCCTGAACACGAGAGTCTTCCGACACAGTATCATATATGTATTTTGATACATGTGTTGCTAATCTTGGTTCTAGACCAGACAGCATAATAATTACATTTGACTGCTCTAATATGTCATTTACTGTTGAACATTTCTGAAAAACCTCATTTATAAAATTCTTGGCTAATTCAACATTTCCTGTACTATCTGACAAACCAATTTTTGCATTGAAATTGATGCCAATATTCACTGCAGCCAGAAATTCTTGCATTGACTTGTGAATAAAAGAGAACAATGAGCTTGGTGGTTCTGCTACAGATAAACTTGGACATTCATCTTCTGTAATTATTCCAAGTTTCAAGCAATTTTCTCTTACTTCATCTGATATTTCTAGTTCATCAAACATACAAATGTCAAATGTCAAGGATTTATCCTTCGGACAATTAAATAGTGTCTCATAAGCCAACTGTGACACTTCATAAATGAAATGGCGATTTAATCTTAATTTGGTTTTATCGGCTAAATATTTAGGAAGATCTACTTTCTGGGTCCCCTTCATGAGTCGAGTACTTGTTCCTGTAGTTTTCATGTCATTCCATGTAAAGAATAATTCTAACATACCGGTGTAGATGGCACATCTTGAGGTTTTATCGAGTTTACCATCAAACCATAGACATATCAGTTGTTGTAGCATAATTGGTACCTTTTTTAAACTTTCAAGAGACTTTTCTTCTAGATTTTCCCTACATTCTCTAGCTTCTTTATTGGCATGTCTGCTTACATTTAATTGTGAGACTGTTCTATCTACCATTTCCCTTTCACATCTAAAATCAAACCCTTTCAGTTTCAGTGATTGTTCAATCTCCACATCACTTGATCTTAATGTATGAAATTTCCATGGCCGCGAAGTAGTTAATATTGTGTACTCCTTAAAGATGCTATGTTCTGGGACATTTTCAGAAGACCATTCATCTAAGCCATCAAGCAAAATCATAACTCTAGAGGATTTCTCTTCAAGAAGTTTGCTTAACATATTCATTTGATAACGTTTTTGAAGCATTTCATCAATAGTGGGGACTGTGCCAATGTTTTGATACTGTCTAAGAGGGATGTAAAATACAAAATCAAATTTCTTCATCTCTTTTACACCATTGAATTTAAGTTCATAGTCATCACTGTCAAATTCAGAGTCTGTAAAGTAAACATTTGAGTCGTCACTATCGGATTCGGAGTCATTTAAGATATCATCAGAGTCATCATTGTGAGATTTGGAGTGTATTAAGCCATCACTGTTATCCTGAATGTCATCACTGTCACTTCCATTTTTCTTCATGTCACCAACATGTTTTTCATTGCTTCCTTTCTCATTAACATCTTGATGTGTCTTACTGCCCTCTTCGTTTTCAATGTCTCCACTATGTGCCCCCTTTACCTCTTCATTTACAATGTCACTTCCCTTTTTTTCATGTTCTTCATTATCACCTCCTGGTTCCTCACTGCCACCTCTATGTTTTGCACTGTCGCCTTCAGGTTTACCACTGCCATCATCATTTTCATTGCCAGCCCCATGTTTTTCACCGTCACCGTCAGTTTTTCCATTGCCATCTTTGTTTTCATTGTCGGCTTCATGTGCCTCATTGTGTGCCAAACACCAACAATTAACCAGATATTTACAAAAACTTGTTTTTCCTGACCCTGCATCTCCTAGAACATATACAGATTTTTGGGGGACTCCGTTCTTTGTGAAGATTTCTGACATTGTTTTAACCTCCACCTCCTTTGTTTCACCCTTTTCTCGTTTTATTTCCCTCGTTATTGTGGGTCTAATATAAATCTCATTAAAGCTACATTTTTCACTTTTTGGTTGTAAAGGTGTTGTAGGAACTTGCAGCAGGGTTTTTTGATACTGTTCTATCAGCTTTTCCCGCCATTCTGTAATTTAAATGATAATATGACATCAAATTGTTAAGAACAAATCAATGAGTAAATGATACAGAAAATAAGTATAGGCCTGGACAGATTATCACAGAAATATAGAAAAGAAGTAGAACACATCACTGAGGGCCTCATTGAAATGTAACACAAATCAGTAAATCAGCAAATATTGAACAGACTGAAGCTAGTTAATGACAACAATCACAAGATTAAGCCTTTTCATATTCTATACAATATACCTGATTTAGCCTTTCACATTCTATGTAACATACCAGATCTCGCCTTTTCATATTCTATATACCATACATGATTTAGCCTTTTCATAGATTATATTACATGCCTGATTTAGCCTTTTCTTATTCTATACAAAATATCTGATTTAGCCTTTTCATATTTAAATCACATACCTGATTTAGCCTTTACATATTCTATATACCATACATGATTTAGCCTTTTCATATTCTATACAATATACCTGATTTAGCCTTTCACATTCTATGTAACATACCAGATTTCGCCTTTTCATATTCTATATACCATACATGATTTAGCCTTTTGATAGATTATATTACATGCCTGATTTAGCCTTTTCTCATTCTATACAAAATATCTGATTAAGCCTTTTCATATTTAAATCACATACCTGACTTAGCCTTTACATATTCTATATACCATACATCGATGGCTCAGCGCAATACTGGTCTAAGTGACATTTTTACCAAAAATCACTTTTTTACATATTTTGATAATTCTGTGAAAATTTTAGGGTAATTTATGCTTTTTTTGCCTTTTTTATTTACATTGAAAATAAAAGTCTATCTCAGGTAGTTCAATTTTGTCAGTGCAATATAGGTCTAACTTGAGTTGGTCTCTTATTGCGATGTCTAATATATCAGTTTTCCTCAAAAATGCTTGAGTTAGACCTTAAATGTTTCATTTCCAGGTACAGAATAATATGCATATCCCATTGAAATGTGTTATAAAGAATGTGAGAATTCATGAAAACACTAGAAATTATTTGCCTCTATCAGTGCTTTGTTTTAATCGCGAAATATTAGCCAATTGCATATAACTGTAAACGAAAAAAATTAATAATAAGTTAGTGTCACATTTATTTTGTCTTTGAAGTCATTACATCATACTCATACTGTATTATTTGATAACATGAAGTGCAGTTGAAACTATCATTTTTGTACAATTTAGTAAAAGACAGTGTATGTTTTCTCATGCACACATTTAAAATGGAAAATAACACGTGTTACACTAGTGGATTCATAACCTCTGATCCCCTCTAAAAATTCTTTTTTTTTTTTTAGTTTGACCTTAGATTTCCTAATTCTTAATTTTACACTTTTTTCATATTTATATAATGTGTTCTGCTTAAGACTGTACATTGTTTCACTGCCAAATCAAACTTAGCCTGTAACACAATGAACAATTTCAGATTTTTTTTGAGGGCGTTCTTGGGTTTTTATTTCTAAATTGATTATCTACTACTGTATCACTCTCTTTGATCAAATAAGTTATATACAAACTTTACACTATCAACTCAAACAATAAAATAACAACATAGTGTCAACATGTGCAAATCACACTCTTCACAATACAGTCAAATATCGTTTATCTCGACATCGCTTTTCGCGATATTTTCGTTATCTCCAATGAAATTTTTGAAAGTCCCGATTTAATTCCTTCTTTATCTATATTGGAAATATTTGTTTATCTCGATATTTTTATTTCAATATTTTCAGTATCTCGATGTAAAATTTCAGCCCCAACAGTTATCTTTCACACTATTATCCTTTGTTTAACAAATAGTTTTCGTTCATCTGTTCCCTTCAGACCTGTGAAACACAAAACTGGACGATAATTGCTCAATAGCGCGTGTCATAATGATGAGTTTAGCTGTTTTTATAAAAGTAATCTATTTAGCGTGTTGATTGACTTGTGTCCAAAAATGAGTGAATTTTAAGTTCTTTGTAAATATTCGAAAACTGTATCAATTCATTATTTAAATGCAAATGAAATAGTGAAAGTATAGAAACGCTATCGTTGCAATATTGTTTCACAACATCACCACCAAATCAATCAGCAGTCGAACAATCTTGAGAAAGATCCGATAAATAACCAGGAAGGATATCCGGATAAACCACCCCGAAACAATGTTTTCACTATATTGGTGTATTACTGAGTAAACCTCACTATGTGTTTTTATCACAGACACCCGTATTTCCGCTGGTAAATATCCGCTAATGTTACTTTGTTAAATATTGATTAGGCCTATGAAAACAAGACATGGGGGATATCATAGTTTATTTTGACATAAGGTATGCCACATGTCTTTAGTAAAAATCAATCTCTGCCTTATACAAATCCCTAATATGTTTATCTCGACATTTCGTTATCTCAATACTTTTTTGGACGGTCCCGATGACTTCGCGAGATAACAAGAGTTAACTGTACTTATATTATTGACACAATATATCTTTCTGTCTGATGTGATATGTGCAGAAAAAATCAAAAATATGCACACTTATATATTATAATGACCTTTTCAGTTCTTGTATTCTGATATTTTTTTTACATCACACAGCTCCATTGAATTTTCGAGAGTGCAATTGTCAAAAAACTCTTTGACTTATGTGGCAGAAACAGCTATTAAGTTGATAAAAATGTTTCATTTTAGATCTAAAAGCCATTAATTTTACCTATCAAATTTAATAATGAAAATTAAAAATGTAATGGCCTATCAACTGCCTTTTGGTATAGTATCAGTGTCAATGAGAAAATTTCAAACATTTATCCATTCTAATTGTTTAGTGCTAATCTAAGGTGTGTACATGGTGCTTCAGGTGTGTGCCTTGTCATATCTGAATGAGTAAGTGGTTGCAAGTGTTTTAAGCACATCTAACTTTTTTCTCTAAAATATGTTTGACAACTTCTTCTTATTGGTCAAAATTTAGAGGTAAAATGACTTTGATATATAAAATGAAACACTTTTCTTAAGATATGCACAGTTTTCAGCAAAACATGTCGTATGATTTGCACAATACACTTTCAAAATATATTCTAAACAGTTGAGAAAGTAAATACAAAAAGTTGTAATAAAAGCATGGTCGAACAGCGGTTTTCATTTTTGAAAATATTTGATATTTATAAATGATTATATCATCAGAAAAGACAACCGCATACATTAAATTCATTAAGATTTAACAATAACTGTAATATAGGAATTACAGCATTTAAGCACCAATGGTGGTAATGGTGTGCATTGAGAAAATAAAATGTGTCTTCTTTGTACAAATGTGAGTTATACAAAATGTACTTTCCCTGTTATCAAACTTTGATGATATCATGATATATACCTGGATCATCAGTCATCATTGTTCATGACTACTGTTCATAACACTATTATGAATCAAAACTGTTTGCATTTTGTTTAGAATTCAAATTTATTGCACAGATAATCTGCAAAAAATCTTAAGTAAATCTGAATCTCAAACAAATTGAAAAAGAGAAAGAAGTGTACTTTCATCTTAAGTCAGCCCGCATGATATATTAATAGAAAAATATTAAAGGGTTTAGTCTTTGTAAAGTTCTTCTACAGACTTGCAGAATATTTTAGACAATGTTTAAATTAATAAAACAATTTTGTTCAAAATTTAAAAATTTCATTTATATCAAAAATATTTAAGGTACAACAGGTCTAACTCAAATATTTGTACCATTTTTTACCAAAAATTGGCAAGAGGGAATTTGAGTCTAACTCAAGTTAGTCTTGTATTGCGCTCAGAATTTCAGCGCAATAAAGGTCTAACTCTCAAAAACACAATTTGTAACATTTTAATAAAAAAATATATAAATGGCATTATTTCTTATTATAATTAATGTTAACATAGCAAAATAAAGTTTTCTAATATAAGTATTTTTGAATAAAATCAGTTTTTTGTCTCTCCTGAACATTTTCAAAAATAGCAGTTAGACCAGTATTGCGCTGAGCCATCGACATGATTTAGCCTTTTCATAGATTTGTTACATGCCTGATTTAGGCTTTTCTTATTCTATACAAAATATCTGATTTAGCCTTTTCATATTTCAAAAACATACCTGATTTTGCCTTTACATGTTCTATATAACATACCGGATAGAACCTTTTCATATTCGATATAACATACCTGATTTGGACTTTTCATATCCTAAGAACATACCTGATTTAGCCTTTTCATATTTAAATCACATACATGTACCTGAATTAGCATTTACATATTCTATATAACATACCTGATATAACTTTTTCATATTCTATATAACATAGCTGATTTAGCCTTTTCATATTCTTAATACATTTGTAACATACCTGATTTAGCCTTTTGAAATTCTAACTGTTTTTGTTGAGGTGAATCTTCTTCCTTGAGTCTTTTTATCTCCTACAACATGAATAATAATACAAATAATTATGTTTAATTCGGTAATTTTCAAAAAATGTTTTTATTCTTTAAATGTATTGTATGTATGTATCAGTAATATTGGCATTTTCAGTCAGTCTGTGTCCCCAAGTCATTCTACGTTGCAATATATCTCATAAAAATCAAATCAAATTTCCTTATTTGAAAATCAATTTTATTGCAGTGGAGGAATCTTCTATGGAGCATCTTTTATTTTGACATTTTAGGTGCATTAGTCCCTTTTTAAATTTCTACTAGATATTGGAATTGAGGGACAATTGCTCACCTGAATATGAATATTCTCCATGACAAGGAACAAGTAATATATTAATACAAATGAAACAGATATAAAACAAAATCTTAAACTGATATCACAAAGTTCATATTTGGATCTGAAATAGTGCATGTGTAACAAGAGGGCCATGATGGCCCTGAAGTCACTCACCTGTATATGTTCGATCCCCCGGCGGGGTCAATGTAAACCCCAAGGGCTTTTATTTTAACAAACATGGAAGACATCCATTAGAAGATGTTTCATGCTAAATATCTTAGCTCTAGCTCTTTAGTTTTTTTAAAAGAAGATTTTAAGTTTTTACTTCACACATATAGGGAACAAGAGCTGTCACCCAAGTGACAAATGCTGCCGAAAAGCATTATTTGACTCCACAAATCGTCTCTATGTTGTAGACATTTCAAAATGATACTGTGACCTTGACCTTTGAGGTAGGGACGTGTTTCTTGGACGCGAAACAACATTTCAAAATCCCTCAATGTATGACAAAGTTACAGTCTGATCACGAATGAAGTGGAGACGCACAGACGGACAGACGGATGGTCAGACAGACAGTCCGATTTTAAAATGACTCCTTTCGGGGGCATAAAACAATGACCCCCCCAGGCGGGTCCAATTTTTAACCAAGGGTTTTTATTTGAACAAACTTGGTAGACACTCACTCGATGGTGTTTCATGATAAGTATCTAAACTGTATGGAGGGCGATCGTTGCCAAAATTCCAGTCATGTAAAATGTTCCTTTTGAAAAGTACTTTTGAAAATGCGAACGTGTATGTCTAGCATTTTTTATTGTATTTCTGCACAACAAATGATATGCCTCTTAATCCAATCTTTTAATTGAAGTCACCCGCTTTTAAATAACAAGCTTACATGTTTATCTCAACAACTGACATAACATGGAGAAAAACAACAAATTTACAAGTTCGTATCTTCCATTGCATATAATACATAAGCATGTTTGCACACTTGTAGATATCTATCTGAACCTGAAAAATACAAATGAAATGTAAAACTCGAATACAGAAAATAGAATTTAATAAAACATGTTTCCAGTCGTAGAACTACAACAGTACGTTTACACAGTAACACGTTTAAAATGACAAAAGTAGATTCACAAAGTTAAACGATTTTAAGTCATGCATGACGCCCCGCCCCTCTATGAGTACTTACGATCTTCTATTACGAAATGTTCGGACAGGTATAATACCCGTCGCCTCTCTCCTATTTCTCAATAATGTGAAAGAAAACACGGCGTCCATTCTAACTTTTTTTATTTCTATAAAAAGTCAAATATTTTTTGTATCAAATGGAAGATTACGGAAGATTACTCCATAAGCTTTGTATGAGTGCCTCAAAAATAAAAATAAATTAAATAGATGTATTGAAATTTTTGTTTCAAAATTTATCATTTTTTCCTCTGAAAATAACACTCTCGAATTGGTAAGAAAAACACGGCGTTCCTTCCAAACTTTTTAAGTTCGTAATCAATTTTGATAATTTTGGATTGAAATAAAAGTGTGCTTCATACGATTTATAATATATAAATATATAATGCCTAAAACTAAAACTGAATTAAATCAAAATGAATTAATTTTTTCGTTTTAAAGTTTATCATGTTACTTTCTGTAAAATAGAGAAAATAAGAATCCCTAAAGAACGCTCAAAACGACAAAATTGAGAATGTTGCAGGCTCGGTTTGATTGAGCCTGTTCATGGGCGGTAATGGCAAGTGCAAGTTACCGTCCACGCCCCCTAGCACCGTCTCAAGCAAAATATGAACTTGTACAATTTTGAAACTTCCGCATATGTGTTAATATGGCGATAATCATGGAACCTTCAATGTGACAGTTAGTGCCATTCCATGAAAAACGGCATATGGTCCCCAAGTAAGAAAACAAAACACACTCTGAAATTCAGTAAAAGAAACATTGAGCCCCTACTTACTTTTTTATTTCTTGGTCATTTTTTATAAATTTGGACTCAAGTAAAAGAATCCTTCGTGAACTTTCTAGTGATGCCTTAAAAATGAAAATTAATTACGTATTTAAAATTTTGTTTCGAACTTATCGTTGTTTATTTTTTCTCTCTTAAAACCACATTCATATATCCAAGAAAATCACGTCGCTTCCTTTTAGATACTTTATTCAAAAAATAAAATGAATATTGAATGAAAGTTAAGACCATAACCTTTGGACAAGTATATTAAAAATCTTGAAACAAAGTGATCCCTCGGAAGCATTAATCACAACAAAATTACATGAAATATGATAAACAAGATTAACAAGGAAAGGCGGCGTTCAATGAACGCAACCCCCATATGACCCAGCAACAAGAACCAGTGGCAAGGAGCCCAGGCGGACCCCAAACAAAAACAGGACAGGGCAAAGACAGAGCACGGACAGGTTATTCACTAAATGATTAATAGTTTGTAACTGATTATGAATTCAAAGGAACTGCAGGCTCGGTTTTATTGAGTCTGTATATGAGGGAAAATGAACAAGTGCAACTTCCCTCACGCCCCCCTGGCACCGACTTGAGCGGTACTCAATTCTTAACACTTAATAGCGCTGGCATCAATGATCCCGACGGACCAGAAAAATATAACAACACTGAAGTGGAGTACGGGGAAACTTTTTACAGCTGCTACACGGCCTTTGACACCTGCTGTTGTGAAGTATAAAAATCTTGAAAAAAGTGACCCCTCGGAAATTCATCCTCGGTTTGATGAGTCTGTACATGAGGGATAATGAACAAGTGCAAAATGTTTTTATTTATACTGAAAATACCATATTAAAGATTATACAGATGTGCTACGGATAAGTTTTTTTCTTGATTTCTGAAAGGAAATCTCGGTGGCCGCTTTAAAATCCTATTTTTGCAAATACTTGCATAGTTTTTGTTGAAAATGAAATTTGTGCCAATACATTTTTCAATGAAACCAATAAAAAATATTGGATGGTCTTAAGATTATCAATAATATTACTCCCTTGAAGTTGGTCATTGTTTGCCCTAAAAATTTCCAAATCGCCAATGTTTCTTAGGAAAACACAATGTTAAATAATAAGTTTATGCATAAGTTATCTTCATCATAAATGTTAAAACCAGCAATTTTCAAGTGATGTTGCAAGTGACAAAACTTGTGTAACAAATGAAACAAATATATGTATGAAATAGGCGGTATGTTGTCCTTCGGTTTTATTTAGAAATATGGGAGAGGCGCCGTTTTATACCTGTCCGCAATAGAAGTTCGTAAATACTCCGAGAGGGGCGGGGCGTTATGCTTGACTTAAAATCGTTTAACTTTGTAAACCTACTTTTGTCATTTTAAACATGTTACTGAGTTAACGTATTCGTGTAGTTCTACAACTGGTAGCACGTTTTAACTCTCTCTCTATTTTCTGTATTTAAGATTTACATTTCATTTGTATATTTCATATCTATAAGTGTGCAAAATTACATATGAATTGCATGCAATGGAAGATACGAACTTGTAAATTTGTTTTCGTTTTAGATGTTAGGTCAGTTGTTGCGATCTATATGTAAACTTGTCATATAACTTAGGCGGGAACCCTCAATTAAAAGATTGAATTAAGAGACATACCATGTGCTATGCACGGGTAAAATAAAAAATGGTAGGCATACAAGTTTGCATTTTAAAAAGGAACACTTTACATGTCTGGAATTTTGGCAACGATCGCCCTCCATAAAACTGTAGCTCTTTTAAGTATTTACTTTACACAAATAAAAGGAAAATCAATGAAACCCCCCCCCCCCCATGGTGGGGCCAATTTTAACCCATGGGCTTTTATTTGAACAAACTTGGTAGACACCCATGCATAGTTCTGCATGGAATTAAATTCTTGAACAAATTTTAAAGATGACCACTTAAGGAACATTCATGTGAAGTTTGGGTAAAAATTGGCATAAAAATACGCATCTTATGTGGAGCCCTTAACCCTTTCGCTGCCAGAGGGTTATTGTTTTATTGATCACCTATTTGCCAGAGGGTTTTCTAAGAAATTACTATATTATTAATTAATATAATTATTATTATTAGTTATTAGTATTATAATAATTATATATGTTTCCAAATCTGTGAGTATAATAATAATTATTATCGATGGTATAATTTTCTTTATATTTATTATTATTATTATTATTAATTTATTATTAATACTATTATTATTATAGAAACGGCTAAAGCCGTCCATATGGCAAATACCCAGAAAATAACAGGGACGGCATAAGCTGTCCCTATGGCAGTGAAAGGGTATGGGGGAAGCAACAGTTCCATAAAATAAATGGTTTCCTTGGAAGTTAGTTCCTGATATAAAATTAAATGGTAGATTCACTCGTTGCCATGGAAAGTTAATGTTTGCTGGTTGCTATGAAATTTTACAGTTTGCTATGAAAAGTCAATGGCTGCTATGAAGTCGCTGATTGCTATGGAAACTTAGCTTTATCTCTTGTAGATTCAGGGAAGAATTGTTTTTAAATTGTTTTACTATAAACATATAAGGTCAATCGATGTAACCCCAGGGTGGTGGTGGGGCTATAATTTAAACAATTTGTGTAGAGTTTCATGTGACAAAGTTATATACCAAATATCTAAGCTTCTGTAGTATAACAGAAAATTTATTTTTTCTATTTATAGATAAGGGAAATCATTTTCCCCCCTGCGGCAAGGCCAATTTTGACCCCCAGGCTTTTATTTGAACAAACTTTGTAAACAACTCCTAGAAGATGTTTCATATTAAATATCTAAGCTAAAGCTCTGGGTTTTTTTTAAAGAAAATTGTGTGTGTGTGTGTTTTTACTACATACATATAAGGAAAATCAATGGCCCCCATAGACATGGAATTTTTACCTCATGGTTTTCATTTGAGCAAACTTGGTAGTGACCCACTGGAATAAGTTTCATGCAAAATATCTAAGCTCTAGCGCTTTCTGATTTAAAAGTTTTTTTTAGGTTTTTCTATTGGTTGCGATGGCAACCAGAATTTAGCATTGAATGGAATTTTTTTAATCATTTTAAAGGGCTTCATGCTAGAAATATTACTGCTTAGATTTAAAATATCAGCCAATTGGTATAAAAGATGTTAAGAGTTAAACGCCATTTTTTGAAGGATGCATGCCGGACGCAGAGTGATCACAAAAGATCAACCTTGAGTACTTTGTGTTCACGTGAGATAAAAAGTGGATGACAATATGCATCATGAAAAAACAAAGCTTGCTAACCTCATTGTGTGCCTTGACAAGCAAATAGTACTGGTTTATACAAACATTAGTTATCTTAAAACCATGGCTGAATGCAATACATGAACTGGTATCTTAAGTGGAAACAAACAATAGCTAAAACATTCTACCTCTTTTTGCTCTTCCATTATTGTCTCAAGAATAGTAAATTTCTTTTTTAAATATGCATGTTCTTTCTCAGCCTCTAGTTGTCCTTTCTGTTCTTCAGAAATCTGTTTCTCCAGATTTGCAAGTTTGTTTTCAAGTTTTTCAGTCTCAACTTTTCCCTCTGAGAGTTTATTTTTCAGGTCCTCATATTCTTCTTTAGTAGCAGCATTTTCTGTTGATTTTAAAACTTTTGACATTTCGTCCTTGATTTGCCCCAGAATATCTTCAAAACCTTCAGTAGTAATAATGAAGTCCTTCTTCTTCAGCTGATGAAAAATAACAATTTTGTTACATTTTCTTTAAGACTACATTAGCTATGTGATTTTTAAATTTCACTCTTACATATAACATATTATAAAGCAATATCATTTTATTTCAAAAATACCTCAATTATTCTTTATGTTAATTTTCACATTTTTCTGTTGCATTCTTAAATCTTATAAGAGGGTGTGTAGTATAGGTATCTGGCTATCAGTCTCCTTTTTTCATTCTTCTGTTATTGTCTACATTTATTTCAATGCAACCAGTATGACTATCCAAAAAGTTTTCAGAATTCTTTTAATACTTCTCAGTTTCTTCATTTCACATTTGACATGCTTGACATGTTTAGATTCTAATAGGGGTTAAGATATATATAATTATGGTCACAGCTTAATTGGAGGATACAAACATTTTGCAGGTTTTATTATCTCAAGTATAATAATCATTCACACCCCTTTTCAATGTCTGGATATTGGAAGTAAATTTGTGTTGCTATAATCCAAACTTTACCACAATATCAGAATTCAGAAGTCCTCAAAAATTCAGAGGTATGAATTATATAGAATTTCGGTAACCTAAATATTGTTCGGATTTCAAAGTTTTTGGATTTCAGAAGTTCCTTACAAACTAAGATCTCTTTTGTTTATAATTTAACATTTTATAGGTACATATATATTTTTATGTGATTTTATCAATTAACGTAAGGGGATTATTTTTTGAATTTGACTATACTTTACCACTTCAAACCCTGTTACCTAAACTTTGTCCTTAATTAAGTGATATGTTATATCTTAAATCATTATAAGTTAACTCCATAAAGACTTTAAACTGACACAATTCATTATTTACACTTACATCTTGAAGTTTCTTCACCGCTATCTGGGCATCTGGTTGTTGTAATAGCTCTTTACCATCTTGTAAAACTGCTATCATATCGTCAATATATGAATTGGCCTCACTTTCTTCTAATACCATGCTGCTTGAGTGGAAAATATTATTTCTATACTGACGTACCTATTGAATAGAAAACACAGGTTTTAATTTTGTTCTATGCATATACATGTGTATACTGTTAAGCAATCAAAATTGTTTTGTGACACTTGTTTCGGTACTTACCTTCATAAAAGATGCAATCATAAATTTTACCAGGCCTTTGTATATATTTATTGCAAATTTGGGGACATTGTGTCTAAGACTTAATTTTTAATTCAAATAAGGAAAAAAATAATTGTGAAATTTATTATTTGGGGAAAAAATGCCAACATATAAGATGTGCAAACTCTTTAAACAAAGCTAAATAAATATTACTGAAACTGATAAGAATTTAAAAGATATCTGAAACATTTGGAACGTCCACACCAAATACAAAATGTTTGTACATGTACCTTTTTTCAAATCACTGACTTCGGGAAAGGGATTTTTTTGGGATTGTGAAAAAAAAGGACAAAGTTTGCATTGGGAATGCCCAGGCCTATATTTGGACACATGGGATACGGAACAAGAGCTGTCACAGGAGACAGCAAAGCTCGACTAATAAAATACTGGAGGCAGTAAGGAGGACAAAGCAATGAAAGAAAAATCAATTATGTATAATTATGTATTAAGTTAAAGTAAAAAAAAAACATTTGTTAACAAAAATTCCAAGATCAAGGGGAATATTTCTAGAAATAGTCACACTAGAGTTATGAACCTTGTCACACAACATGTGTGTAATGATAAGAAATATATATTTGAATATTATAAGTTTGAAGTAGATACCTTAAAAAGTAAAGAAGTTATAATATTTCTTAAAGAAAATCCTTAGTTCATCATGTTCAAAGAGAGATAAATCTGTAAATATTGCTTCAAGAGTTATAAACATTGTCGCATAAAATGTAATTGATGATAAGGAATATATAGGTATTTAAAGTTTGAGGTAGATACCTTTATATCTAAAAAAGTTATACAATGTAGTAAAAAGTAATATTTTTAAGGAAAATTCTAAGTTCAAGGGGAGATAAATCTGAAAATATTGGTGCTAGGGTTATGAACCTTGTCACATAAGATGGGGATGATGTTAAGGTACATATATTTGAAGTATGAGGTTGATCCCTTAACAAATAAAGAAGTAATAGTAAAAAATAGTATTTTTTGAGGAAAATTCTAAGTTCAAGGGGAGATATATCTGAAAATATTGGTGCTAGAGTTATGAACCTTGTCACATAAGATTTGGATGATGATAAGGTACATACATTTGAAGTATGAGGTTGATCCCTTAACAAATAAAGAAGTAACAGTAAAAAATAGTATTTTTTGAGGAAAATTCTAAGTTCAAGGGGAGATAAATCTGAAAAGATTGGTGCTAGAGTTATGAACCTTGTCACATAAGATTTGGATGATGTTAAGGTACATACATTTGACGTATGAGGTTGATCCCTTCACAAATAAAGAAGTAACAGTAAAAAATAGTATTTTTTGAGGAAAATTCTAAGTTCAAGGGGAGATAAATCTGAAAATGTTGGTGCTAAAGTTATGAATCTTATCACATAAGATGTGGTTGATGATAAGGAACATATATTTGAAGTTTGAATTTGATACCTTAAGAAATGACAAAGTTATAGTGAAAAATATTTTACTGCACCAAAACTTTAATCTGAAATCTGGACGCGGAGGCCGGGGCGAGTAGGACAGCTCTCCATATACTTCGTAAAGTCGAGCTAAAAATAGGCCTGCATATAAATAGTTCTATATACAAATCTACAATTGTACATGTTTACAGTAAATATTAACCACAAGCCTTGTGAATTGTTATCATAAACGATTGGTGGATTTTTTATACATTTGTTGTGAATCATTAAAGGGATGAATAACTTCATAACCTTCTTAGTTAAACTAGAACTGCCACTGTCTTGGCGTGAATACCCCCGCATACCACTTTGTCAGAATAAAGCTCAAGGACAACTCCCCTGCCAAATCTGAAGGTAGTAAGCCATTGCATTGCTAAATTATGTATTCTACATGTTTTTGTGGCAAAGATCAAAGTGACCTTTACCTTTGACCTCAAAACTGAAACTGCCACTGTGCCACTGCATGACTTGAATACCCCCATTCATGCACCTTTGCCAGGGGTGTTTTATGATGACTATATGAGAAAATAATTTTTATGCTTCAAATATGAAAATGTCCAAATCAATATCACTTTAGACAGGCATTCTTAAGCATTTGAGTTGACTAACTTATTGAAGTAAAAGCCCCTGTGACCTTGACCTTTGACCCAGTGACCTCAAAATCAATAGGGTCATCTACTTATCATGCCTAACTTACTGCCAAATATAAAGACTGTGAATCAAAGGAATCTTGAGTTATTGGGCAGACAAGGAAAAACCGATGGCCGGATGGACGAGCTGATGACGATCTGACAGTCCGGTATACCCCCTTACAAATATACAACATTAACAGTACAATAGAGCTGATAAAAGATAAGTAAAAGTTATTTTATGAATGATTTACCTTTAAAAAAAGGTTGTTTGCTTTTGTGACATCACATCCAATGTGGCTATGAAAATACTGGTTATTCATCATTAAAATTAATAACCCAGTACAATCAGTTTCCCCAGCAGATGTCTTGTCCTCGTACCCTGGAGCATTTATAAAACACTTACAAATGCTCCAAGGATCTGTCGACCACTGTTGGGCATCTGTGTTTTTCCAGTTAGGTGCAGGTGGTGAGGATGCTTGATACTGAACAATATAGTCATAGATGGCGCCACATATGTTGTTCGGACAAGCAATTTTTCTCTTAAAGCAACAGCTGCATTTTACTTGCCCAAGAGGACAAACTCTATTTTTAGCATTCCCTACTGGCTTTTGGTCTGGCTTGAGAGTTTCAACTCGACAGCCCCCACATATCACATTTGATGGTAGTGACTTTGTAGACCGAATGTTTTGTAAGATATCCTGATGTTGTTGGTCAGCTATGTCATTACAGAATGGTGCCAGTCCCTCCTTTAAATATCCAAGTCCTAAACCAGCCTTTACCCACTGTCTGTATTTTTCCTTCTCTAAATGAAGTTGATGTGCCATCCTGATACTCTTATCAATATCTAAACAAACAAAAGATTATGTTAGATTTTATATAAATAAGTAATTATGGTCTCAAAGTCCAAAATACTGGGTATTGTAAATTCATTATTATTCGTATGGAATGAATTTTTGTGGTTTTCGTGGGTAGGTTTAAAGATCCGACGAAATTTTATCACAACAAATACTTCTTGCCATGTCTCTATTCTATATATAACAAACATGCACCAGCACTTTTCTGCCGATTGTAGTGTAATGAATGCCAGTCAGGGGCAATGATTACATTTATTGGCAAGTACTGTGTGATACGTAAATATATGTACATGCGGTAAGTGAAATAAGCGGCGATTAAGTGTAAGATTACTTTGCATTAGGTTATTTATTTTATTTTTTTTAAAGAAATTGAAAATCCACGAATTTAAGAACCCACGAAAATGCCCGTTTTGATAAAACCACAAAATTTCATGTCCACGAATATAGGTGAATTCGCAGTAATGTGATAATTGTTCCTAAAAATCAATTACAGGGACAAAAAAACTAGTGGTGTCATCGATCAGGATTTTTGTACTGATATATTGGTAATGAATTTTTGGCGATACAGCGATATAATTATCAATTTCCAGGCAATATTTAGCTTTCAAGATTTTTTTAATGTTCCATAAGAACACTGACGACTCTATGCAGTTGTAATTAAACATATGCATATTGTAAAGATTTAAGAAACCATTTGATAAAACAAACAAGCAATTATCATAGTATTGCAAGCAATCCATAAGTCCCCTACCAGTTAGAACTACAGCAACATTCTGATGGGCCATTGGCCATTCAATTATACCATTGAATGAATGGATGACATCAATAAACTTCAATCTTTTGTGTTCTAAGTTTGTATATAACATAGTAATGTGTTAGTTTCCCTGCCAAGTAAGGAAATTATGTTTATACAACAGATAATCAAAAGGACCAATTTTCTCAGGATGAATAAGTATAACAAATGTTTCAACTTTTCTCTATTTTAAGTTAATTTGTTGCAAAAATCTTGTCATATCATTATGATGTTGGAGTTTAAATTAAATCCTAAAAGAAATGAAGAAGTTGGGAGTAAAAAATACCAACATTGGAAGTGTGCCTATAGATGATATCATATACCAAATATCAAAGCTCTAAGCCTTGTACCTTCAGACAATAAGATTTTATAATGTTCTACTATATGTACATTGTGAAAATCAATGACCCCTGGGACAGGGCCAATTTTGACCCCAGGGCCATAATTTGAACAATCTTGCTAAAGGTTCACTACACAATGTTACATACAAAATATCTAACCTTTAGCCTTTGTCAATTTCTAGAACATGATCCCAGGACTATAATTTAAAAATTTTGGTAGAGGTCTACCAGACAATGCCTTATGCAAATAATCTAAGCTCTAGGCCTTTTGGGTCTTTACAAGAAGATTTTATAATTCCTTTTGGTTGGTTGCAATGGCAACCAGATTTCTGCATGGAATGAAATCCTTTGAACAACTTTGGAAGCCCTTCACCCAAGGATCAATCCTGCCAAGTTTGGTGGAAATTGGACTAGTGGTTTTTCACAAGATGATTTTTGAAGTTCACTATATAATCTATAGAAAACACCACTATATAATCTATTGAAAATATACACACACACAACACACACAGCACACACACGCACGCACGCACGCATATATAAATATACATAATATAGATATGTTATTTATGTTATCATAATAACCAGGTGATTTAATTAAAATACTAAATGGACAGAAGTAATATTTTTACTGATTTTACAAATTCGTTGTTCTACTCTTTTTTGAATAAAGTATAAATAGTTTACGATAGTTTCAAAAAGAAATAGTAAGATAATTGTGTGCTTGGAAATTGTATGGTCTGTGAAATATAATGATGTACTATGTACAAATGAAATAATGTTTTGTTCTGTTCTAATAATTATTAGTTGGTTCTTTATTTTTTAGAATTACAATATTTCATAATTAAATGACAATACATATTTAATATATTTTAATGATAGGATGAAAAAGATTTCTTTTTTGAAATCATAAAATAATTTGACGAGCCGTTTATATCTTATACAATGCTGCGAGTTTTTTTTATGAAATTTATGACTTTTCCAAATGTCCACAGGTAAGTTGTCAAAGGATGATATACAAGCATATCATCAACAGCTTGAAAAGATAAAATAAGATTTTCCCCATCATTGCACAAAATACTAAAACCCAAAGAATAAAAATTAAAAAAGGGTTTTACATTAAAAGACTTGTTTTCATTAAATCCCCTTTTTGAAAGTACTAAATTAAAAGCAAAATAAAAAACCCTTTTCTTTGTTTTTTAGAAAAATTTAAAAGTGGTTTTTCCCCCACAAAGAAAATTATTAAAAAAAAAAAAGGAAATTTAAAACATTTCAAAACTATTTAAATTAAAAAGTGAGGTTTAACTTTTGACCATTATATACAGAATAAAAATATGTCGCTATTATCAAAACCCTTTAAAATTTGTTATAGGTATTTATCTCTGGAAGTGTTAGAAGATATTATATATAGTTGTAGATGAATTGCAGATAAGTTTGGTATAAGTGGGTTGAATATTTAAATTGACTCAAAAGATTTAAAACCTGTTACGTGATTAATGTAATTGGGATAAAGCTCTGCATGAGAAGTCTGAAAAAGTCTTCTTCGTACTAACATTCAACAAATGATAATGCTAGTTTTGAAATAAATTACAAAAAGTACCGAATGTGTTGAAAATAACTTGTTTCTTGAATCATTGCAATAAATTGTTTCCCTCTTGTACAACATAGAATTGCTATTACCCTTTATTATAATAATCAACCTTAAATACTTTAATTTGCGAATGGTAATTTACACTTGGGTTCCTTTCACAGCAGGATATAGTCTCTCTAAGAAAACACCAATCCGCAGCAGGATTTTGACGCTTAAATCTTATGTATTCCCGTGCAAACTGAATATCATTTAATTAAAAAGATCTTAATGAAAATATGAACACAGGAAATTTTATATTAATACAATATAGAATAATATGCATTTCATTAATATTAGTAGAACACATTTAAAGAAGTGTAATAGTGGGTTATCTGAATTCTTTTTCGTTTATGATTGACATATTCAATCTTATCTTGGGATTTGATTTTTAATATATTGATTATCAAATTTTGAATATTTGTATGAAGATATTCATATTGGTCATATTATACTTATTTCAAAATTGAGAAACTAATGATTTATTTTTTGTCATTCTTCATAAGTGGATAGCAGTTTTGTCTATATTATGCTTAAGGATATTGCTGCTTTTATAAAACATAATTATACAATTTATTCAGTTTATATTTTACGAATTACGAAGTAAATTTAATTTAAAATTTTAAAAATAAACAAATTGTCCATAAGAAAAAGGTTTTATAAAACAGAAAGTCTACAAAAGGTGATTTTTTTTTAAAAGTAAGATAAATTTAAAGGGAAAATGTAGTATATATTTATAGTCAACAGATTTCTATAAATCAATATTATTTATTTATATATTTAGTTATTTCCAAACTGATAATTTAAAACTTAATTTATATAATAAATGAATAATTCAATGTGTCCCAAAAGTTGAAATTCTTACAATTATTAATTGAACTGTAAAATATGTCCCAGCTCTATGAAAAACCTTTAATCAGGCGGACAATGAATGACACAAGGTTATCTTAACGAGTTTTGGTAGAAACTTAAGTCTATTTCAACAAAACATAAATTACCGGTATACAATATTATGCATTTGTACATTTTAAAAAAAATTACGTAGATCTATAATAACTTTGTCTATTGTATAAAAACCGGTAACCAAACTGTATAAATAGAATACCCGGGCTTATTACGACACTCTATCAACTCAGAAGAAGGCTTTTAAACAAAGGCGTTTGGGTAGAAGTTCTATTGTTAAATTTTAATAAAAGAGGCTATGGATGCGAGACGGAAGAGAGATGTTAACAAAACTTAATATATTGCTTAATACGATACCATGTGTGTTAGAGATGTTAACAAAGACTGGGTATATTGTGAGAGTGGTGATAGATAGATAGGAGATGTTAACAGACGGAATAAACTGCTTATGACGGTGATAGAAGCTTTGAAAGATATAAACAAAGACTATGTATTCTGCTTAAGGGGGTGTTATATTGGTTAGATCTTAACTTAGAACTTTAATACTACTTAAAGTGGGGTTTAGGTGTAGGTGGCACTTGATAGCAAAGACTTAATGAATTGCTTTAGATGGTTCTATAGATTGGTGAGAAATGGTAACAAAATATACTGATTAAGATGGAGCTTTGTGACTGAGAGATGTTTACAAACACTGGATATTCTCTTATAAGTTTTGCTTGGTGGTTATATATAAGATGTAAACAAAACTTAAGTTACTGCTTCAGGCGATAAGACAGTAATTATGAAACAGTAACAAAATCTGAAATAGTATATATTTTGTCTTGGTGAATATAATCTTTGACAGTCATAAGGATATTTGTTGTTGGAATGTAAAGGAACTGCTATACAAACTGAAACATTGTTCAGTGCAAAAATGGTCTAGTGCACTAGGAATGAACTTTAAAGTGCACTTGATGTGCACATTGAGGTGTACTTGAATAACACATGTAGTACACATCGAGAGCACTTTGTGAAACCTTTAGTATGAACTCAACTGTACCTAACATTGACAGAAAAGAACAAACCATTTAGTAAACATGAGTTACTTCTTTTTAAATAAAAAACCTGAAACCGTAAAAAACGCCCTTAACAGCAAAATTATAAAATCTTGCAGGCTCAGTTTTATTAAAAGAAATGGTAAAAAGTATTCATATTAAGTTAGAAGGCAATGTGACAGCAGTAAAATGACATTACAGAAAACCGAATAGCTTCTGAATACTCGTACATTTTGAAAAAAAATAATTATGTTCAATAGATAAACGTAATATGGATAGCATTAATAGGAT